AATGCCACTTAATGTAGTTTATTTGCCGCCGAGATTAGATTAGAAAGTTTCTGATGTAGAAGACATTGATCTTCTTCTTCTTCTTCCTTCTAGTTTGTAGGCTTTAAAGCCTGTTTCTTCTTCAATATTAGCTTCCTAAATTGTTTAAATTGTCGCACCATCTTTTTCTTGGTCTGCCAATACTTATTCGTCCATTTGGTAACTTATCTCGTGCTATTCATACTATTCTATCCTCCGCCATTCTACTGATGTGTTTGTTCCACTTTTGTTTTCGTTTTGTCACCCATCCATTTCTGTCTTCTATATTGCATGCTCTTCTTATGTTTTTGCTTCTCTTCCTATCCAACAGACTTCCCCTTGATATTCGTCGAAGTATTTTAATCTGTGCTGTTTCTAGCAGTCGTCTCGTTTTAGATGTGTCAGGTCTTGTCTCAGCCGTGTATGTTAATATAGGTCTAACTCCTGCTTTATAGACTCTTGTTTTTTTGTCTTGTCTTAGGTGTTTGTTCTTCCAGATTGTGTCATTAAGAAAACCCGCCGCTTTACTTGCTTTTAAGCTTTGCTGTTGTACTTCTTCTTCAACATCTCCGTAATTAGTTATATCTATTCCCAGATATTTAACCCTTGCTTCCGGCTTTATTATTTTCCCATCAATTTCGATTTTACACCGTAGTGGGTATTTAAATGTCATACATTTGTATTTTTCGGCTGATATTATCATATTGTATTTCTTAGCTGTTGTATTGAAGATATGTGTTAATCTTTAGAGCTCGTCTTCTGTCTCGGTGATTAATGCGGTGTCGTCTATATAACATAATATTTGGATTTCTTTGTTCCCAATTCTGTAGCCATGACTTTTACGTACTGCTTGTATTATTTCGTCCATTAATATATTCCTTATTAATGGTGACTATTATATTAAGTCACTCTGTCTGACTCCGCTTTGTACTGGTATACACTGTGTTAGTTTTCCATTTATCTTTGCCTGTATTCGATTATGGAGGTAGATGCTTTCGATGGTTTGTATAATATTGATTGGTATGTTCCTTTTATACAGTAGATGTAAGAGGTCTTCGACTTGGATGCGATCGAAAGCCTTTGTCAGGTCTATAAAACATAGATATGATGGCCTTTTCTGTGATTTGTCTTAGTACAAATACGGCTTCTACGCAGGATCATCCGGATCTGAATCCTTGTTACACAAGGGTTAACATATGATAAAGTTGTTAGTTTATTGATTTTGTTGGTTGGGACTTTTGTGGTAAGCTTAAGTGCGGTGTTCAGTAGTTTTATACCTCTATAATTGTTGGGGTCTTCTTTATCTCCTTTCTTGACCATTGGTATCATTATGCTGTTTCTCCATGCGTCTGGTATCTTGCAGTGCAATATTAATTGTTGTATAAGTTTTGTCATCTCTAGGGTTAAACTTTCTCATCCGTATTTTAGAAGCTCGTTGGTTATTCCGTCTGGTCCTGGTGACTTTCTATTTTTGAGTGAATTTATGACTATTTCTACTTCGTGAAAACTGATTTCTATTTCGTCTCTTAGTTCAGATACGTTATTGTGCTGATTATTATTTTCCTTTGCTTTAAACAGTTCCGTCAGGTATCTTTCCCATTTGTTTGCTGGTATATTATTGTATTCCCTGAAGAGATTGATGATAATATTATTTGTGAAGAATCAATAAAATCGGATATTGCAGGTACATATGAAATATAAGTGATTGGGAATTCTAACGATTCTGATATTCCTCTGAACCACAGATAAAACGTCCAAAGAAAAAACCAGGCAAAAATAGTAAATCCAAATTTATCTCAAGTTGTAATAACGGATATTCTTTCATGCTCAATAGTAATTCAACATCAGTCTGATTGATATTTAGACAATATAAAAGCCAACCATGTAGGCAAGTCATATATTGAAGTTTTTTCACTCTTTTTGATAAAAAAGTAATTGAGAATAACCTTCACAATTTTGAAATGAATAACATAGATTTAAAAAAATTATTAGCGTGTGTATATTATCTGGTTTACACTTTGCTTCAAGTTGATATGCATTGGTCAAAGGATGAGGATAAAGAAGTGCATATTATAAGAGAAAGCATCATCCGACATAGATTTATAATTTTAATTTATAATAGTGAAGAAACCGCTACATCAGTGTCAGTACATGGGCGTCAATCTAAATTTGCTTTACCAGATGAAACCAGATTCGACAATATTGGCCACATTATAAAAAGAGATGATAGTGCAAAAATGTAGGATGTACAAAAGTAATACTATTTATTTATGTAAAAAGTGCAAAATGCATCTACACCCCGAATATTTCGAAAATTTTTACCTTAAAATTTAATTTAAGTTTAAGATACAATATGTTCCTTTATTAAAAATTGTACTGTTTCCCTTAAAAATGAAAAAAAAATCTTTTTGGTTGTAATTTATTCCTAATTTGTGTTTTTAATCCAATCTAATAAATTAATTGTCAAATTTCTCTCTGTATATTAAGCGGCCGTTAAGGGTTTAATACTATATTAAGAATAAACTGGCCTTAAATTTTCTTTACTTACCTCAAAACTATTTTAAAGTTAATAATAAAGTATATTTAATAAATATATTCCCAGTAATACTCTACGCCCATGCACATATGAATAAAATCTGGAAGATATCATATTTCATAAACTTCAATAAACTAAGATATCATATTTGTCTAATTAACATTCTTTCTAAAAACGTAAATATATATAGACCAGCAAAATATTGATAATTTTACCGATGTTCCAAACTATTCTATGAACTTGTCTCACTATACACTCGTGAATCGCACCAATTTATATTGTTACGGGGGCAAATTTATCTTACATGGGTTACAAATTTACATATTTACATGGTCGAAGCATACACAATAAAAATGACCCCGGTAAGATTTACTAATGAAATTTTTCATGGTTGCCGCTACCGTTTAGTTCAATTTGTAGATTAGTCACCTTTAATTGAAAATTGTCTGACTAATAGAATTATTAGCGTTTACAACTATCGTAATAAAAGGTTGAACAATATAATTTGTTTACAAACAACCTTTACATTGACTCTGACAAATGACATTTATGTTTTGGGAAATAATTTATTTTTATTCCTAAATTACAATAGTTTATGCTATTTCTTATGACTCATATTATCAATTTATTTGTGTAGATTTTAATGGGTACATTTAGTAGAAAAAGTATAAAAAGCCTATGCAGCAATTTGTTGTTTTTTTTTTCTATCAATATTGTTTTTCAGTTTATTCGATTTGATAATTGCATTTACAGCTAGGTATCCTGATAAGTTGTAACCTTGACTTTGAACTAAATGTATCAGTCTATAAATATTATATATTAATTGCAGTCTATAAATATATATTGCTGTTACTTATAGTACAAGAGCTTGTGGCAATATAAGATTGCAAGTAGAAATTGCGTTTAATAATAACTGGGAATATTCTTCATTTTTTTCTATGTGCTTTTTCTTCTAGAAAGATTGACAATGGTAATCCGATATTTTTCTTTCATTATAATCATTCGGCAGCAATTATTATCTCTTTCTACTGATGTTTGCCCCCATTATATCTCCGTCCAAGTTTCTCCTGCTCATTGCTTTTCTCATGTACCTATGTTTTCCAGGTTGTTTTCGGTATTCTTTAGTTTCTTCCCTCTAGGTATTTCCGTTCTTGATTTTTCTTCATTTGGACTTCGTGTATGTATCAACTCAGCTGCTATTCATTTATACTCTTTATAATTGTCTCTTCAGCTCTAATTCAACAACATATTCTATTATCTTTATTATAACGCACCTTTCCAATCTCCATGACAATTTTTTTTTGTCGTATTTTGTCCATCTTCAAATTTCGACATTACACTATTTACAATTGTTTTACAAATAAATTAAATTATTGCTCAGCAACATGGTTTTTATTTTACTCAAGTAAAAGTAGTGTGTTTAATTTTATGATCTAGCAAAATCACCTATTGAATGACTTCGTCACGCACTACAAACACACAACAAACTAAATCCCAGCTCCAGGAAATATGAGATTCCCGGAGTAAGATCAAAGATCTTACCAAAAATCATAACCGAAGGTCAAAGAGATCATGTATTGTGGAGACGTTACCTCCCTCCCCAAACTACATCCACCCCTCCAAAATCTTGGACATAACGTTGGGAAGGCTTTACTTGTTTTTTATCTTGAATGCCCTGGGAATGGGGCATCCGAGAGGCCTTTCTGTGGTGATGCCGCTTTAGTATGGGTGACGTTGTACATATTTTTCTCTATTTTACCTTTCTTTTTGTAAAACCCCTAGAATTGCCCCTTTTCCAAAATGTGGGCCCGTCCAGCAGGCCGGTAACCTTAGTTTTTGGCATTAGTCATTGTTTCTACGCGCAGGGGTTTTGTGTGCGACGGACAATCGGTTGCCGATTTGGTAAACGGTGTTTGCTTACCTCGTCAACCGACCATAGGGAGATTATGACCACCACCACCAAGCTCGTGCCGGTATACGGTCTCAGTGCTCATGAATCTCGGTTACTTCATCTTGGATACCTGTATAAAAATTACTGTTCTCTTTTGGATAAACTAAAACTAGGAAATAGTTGATTAAATGGTGTGGAGTCGTAGTAGAGAGTTAGGTATGCATTCCCAGATGTATTGATATTTCCCTAGACATTTTCACGAGAACACGACACAAGCGAGCGACTGACTCAAAGTGACGCTTTATTTTTTATGAAGCCGACTTCCCTCTCGACATTACACATTTGTTTATGTTTCGATTGAGTTAGACCAATTAGGAAAAGTTCTAGAATACAGATTGCTTCATTTTTCGACACCCGTTCAAATAAAACAATTTTAATTACCTATACACATGGGTTTTTTATTTTTTGTATAAGGTCGTTGTTGTTCTTATAATATGAGCATATCCGCGTAAAAAATCGATAGGTTTCATGTAGTAAATTTCTGTGTCATTCTAGGAATGGTGAAAATTAATTTTAGTGGTGGCGAGCCATTCTTACCTGAACGTGGTAATCATCTAGGAGAAATGGTAAAGTTTTGTAAAGAAACGCTTCAGTTACAATCCGTCTCAATTGTTTCTAATGGATCTATGATAAAGGAAAATTGGTTCAAGAAATATGGAAAGTATGTTGATATTATGGCCATTTCATGTGATTCTTTTCACGAAGAAACTAATAAGGTAATTTTAATTATTAATACTGCATATATTTATCTAATGTGTAAATGGATTATTTTTCTATATCATTCATTATAAGACAAAAAGAAATCTACGAAGCTAAGGATAATTAATACGTAGATAATTTAGCCAAAAAGTGTATAGAAAGTACTTCTACTAAGCATATTATTTGTAATTTAGATGCATTTGTAACAGTTAAACAAATAGAAAATATCGGTGGAATTCTTCATCTACTTAAGGCTGTTTTATCGGTACACCAAAACCTAGAGACAGTGTTTTCTCTGTTATTTACCGACAAAATGTCTCGAAATTTGGACACGTTATTCAAAATTATGTTGCCTTTAAACTGATGGTTTTACTTTTTTAATTTTTTTGAAAGTTCTTTTGAAATATCGGATTATGCAGTTTAACGTTCTATTATAACCAAACTTTTTACGCCCATCACTTGAAAGAGTTTTTTTTTTCTGTAATCGTTGATTTTTTTCACCTTTCTGTGTCCAGGAATAATCGAGAAAAGCGTGTTCAAACTTTGAAGAAAATTGCTAAAAAATACTGAAATCTAATAGTAAAACGTGTTACTCATCATTGGCACTTAATTTTATCGTTATCGCCTTCGTGACGTCAAATCTCGTGAATGTAAGATCAGGTAGTTCGATTTGAAACCATTTTCAAGCTATAACTGCGAAATTTTTTATTTGTTTGTGACAACAAATTGTATTTTTTGTTGATAATATTTTTATGTTATTTTAAATTTATTATAAATAAACACCGTGATGTTTTTTGCAGTCACGTTTCACAAATTTTTATTCAATAATATATTTAGCTAAGAAATATAAATTAAAAATGTGGTAATTCTTTTTAAAACATCTACGATAATCAATCAAAAGAGGTATTCCCGACAAAACTAATTTGAATGGATAATAATGCATTTGTTGTCATTAAACTACCCGTCGGCCGGAGCCACTGAGTTTCGGTGAGAACAGATGTACCGATCGGCTGGCGTAAGCAGTGTAGAAGAGTAAGATACGCCCATTTCAAATCTCCGTGTGCTTTGACTGCTAAAACAGCCTTAATATGTTCGAATTCAACACTTAATCCCAAACCAATAATCGTTCAAAAATTTTACTGTTCTCGGAAATATTAACCATAATATCTAGATTGAGGTTTTGGCCATGCTTATTAGGCTTCGTATTGAAATCCTCGATTAACACTATGGAGAATTCCAAAAAGTGGAAGATTACAATCAAGTTCTTTTAAGGTGGATCTGCACCCCAAATATTTGTTTCCGATTCTAGCGATGGCTCTACTGCGGCATGCTGCTTTGGTAAAATTTTCAACTTATAGATTTCTCCGTGACAATTCTGTAATATTTTTAAACCCTATCATAAATTACAGTTTTTTATCGTTACATCCATTGGCTGAGTTGCCAAGTTGTGTAGACAGTACACAACTAGACTGTGTTATTACTAGTAGAGCAAGTGAGCCAAATGGGTATGTGAAAAGTGGTATAGCGTATGTGCTTATTGCTTTTACTACTTGCTTGGAATTAAGTTTGCTTTTGAGTATTATCCAGATTTAGCCATACCGCTCACACTCCATCTAAGGGGAAAATTCACTCATCCCAGATACCTACGGTATCAAAAGGATTGACCTCTGGTGGGACTCTTTCCCTGTTATCGAACTCTAGGTGGGTTGATATACTGGAATCAAAATTATTTAATAATATTTATTGTGATATTTTTCATCACATGCATGTTTGGAAGTTCATTTGCATAAAAATCAAATCAAAAAATGAACCGCCAAAGAAATTTGTCAATGGAGGAAGCACTGCGAGCATCGACTCTCCTAGATGAAGGATATTAAATGCGATACGTTGCAGGTTTGTTAGGAAGACATCGTTCCAGCATCAGTTGCAAGGTGAGGCAACATAATTAAACAGGATCGTACCATTGAAGACCAGGGCAAGGGCGAAAACGTTCATCATCATCAATCAGCCAATCGCGTCCACTGCTGCACATAGGCCTCCCTCAGTTCTTTCCAGTGTTCTCTACACTGGGCCGCTTGTAGCCAGTTTCCCGCTACCCGTTTTATATCATCGGCCCATCTAGTCGGTGGTCGTCCTCGACTTCTTTTATAGTTTCTGGGCCTCCATTCCATAATACGTCTTGTCCACCGTCCATCTTGTGCTCTGTCTAAGTGCCCTGCCCAGTTCCACTTAAGCGACGTGGTTCTTTCGATGACGTCTTGAACTCCTGATCTTTGCCTAATTTGTTGGTTTGTTATGTGGTCTCGAAGGCTCACGTTTAGCATTGCACGTTCCATGGCTCGTTGTGTAACTCTGAGTTTATTCGCAGATTTTTGCGTGAGTGTTAAAGTCTCTTCTCCATAAGTTTGTACAGGTAAAACATATTGGTTATAAACCTTTCGCTTGAGACACATGGGAATTGAACTTTTTAGAATATGGCTTAATTTGCCAAATGCTGCCCAAGTTAGGCCTATTCGCCTCTGTATTTCATGTGTTTGATTGTCTCTGCTTATTTTGATTTCGTGTCCCAGATATTTTTAAGTGTCTGTTTGTTGTATGGTATTATTATCAATAGTTATATTTCCACTCATTACGAGATTTGTTATAAGTTTAGTTTTCTCAAAGTTTATCTTTAATCCTGCTCTTTCAGACAGACTTTTAAGCGAATGCATCATAGAAACTGTATCTTGTAAATTATCTGCGATTAATACATCATCTGCAAATCTTAGGTGATTTAATCTTTCTCCATCTATATTTATGCCCATATCTTGCCATTGAGTGCTCTTAAATATTGACTCTAGAGCTGCCGTGAACAATTTTGGTGAAATATTGTCTCCTTGTCTAACTCATCGACCTAGCTGAATTTTTCTGTGTCTTCGTGTAGTCGTATACTTGATGTAGCGTTCTCGTAGATGTTTTTGATTAGTGTCGTGTACCTGTAATCTATTCGGCTTTGATTTAGGGCTTCCAGTATTCTTTCAAACTCTACAGAATCAAAAGCCTTCTCGTAATCGACAAATGCAAGAACCAGTGGTATGTAGTACTCGATGCACTTTTCTATTAAGATCTTTATGGTATGCAAATGGTCATTTGTGCCATATCCTGCCTTAAGCCGGTCTGTTATTTGAGCTGATTGAAATCAATCAAATAAAGAGTTTGTACATATGTGTGAAAAGGCTGATGGGTCTATAATTTTCTAATTTGGTAATATCGCCTTTTTTGTGTAACAAGACTATTACTGCATTGTTCCAGTCTTTTGGAATCGTACGCGCATGTAAGCATTTATTAACAGTTCGCTTACTGATTTTAATAAAATTTCTCCTCCTGCTTTTATTGCCTCGATAACGAGTCCATCATTACCAGGCGAAAACGTTGCACTAATCAAATTGATGATCGTTTTTTATGACTAGCAGATGTTTGAAATGTCGCGATATCGTCTCGAACAGTTAGAAGACGTTTACATGAAACAGAATTGAGCAACAGTTAATTTGTCCAGGAGTTTATTTTATTTTAGAAAAATATGTATAATTTGAAAAATCACAGTTTAACCATAGTCCAACATTTATACACCACTACATATCTTAAACAATATTCTAAATAATATTTTATATTTTAAGAGTATTGGTAGAGGCCAAGGAAACAAAAATCACATTGAGCAACTGTTTAGAGTACGAGACTGGTGTCAGAAATACGACGTTCTGTTTAAAATTAATACAGTCGTCAATACCTACAATTATGATGAAGATATGAGCGAAAATATTATGAGTCTCAACCCTATCAGGTAAGCATCCTTATTATGATTTGTTATAGGTTATGTATATCACCACGTAAGTACAGCGGATGCCGGACGATTCTCAATGGAGAATCATTTTTTATCTGTACGATACGCCGTTTCTGAATCTTTAAGTTGCTGTTTTCCACAATTTTTCTTCATTCTGTTCTATCTTCTATTGTGTATTTGGTCTGCCTGTTTCGTTTTTAGTAGATGGTATCCACTATCTCGTAAGTCGAACGAGAACCAGCGTTGCTGTCGGAGTGGGATCATCTCGTTTGCAGATGGGTCCAGCTGACAGGGCGCTGAGGCGTGGGATAGGACTGGGTCGAGCCAGATTCTTGGTTCCTATTAATCAATCTGCCAGGCTGAGATCTTCTCTATATTTGTTTTTGCCCAGGAGACAGTTTTTTGTTTTATAAACAGCAGGCACACATACTTATTAATGCACACACACCAGAAGAGTTCGACATTAAAAGAGGAGTGCGACAGGGGTGTGTATTGTCACCACTACTAGATAGATAGATAGATAGATAGTTTATTTGACTGTAAGTTACAACTAGGTTTACAGCAAGTCAAAACTAAAATTATAAATATTAAATAGTACAAAAAATGGAAACAATACACTAAAAATATTTAAAACATTAAAATACTTAAAAAACTTACAATATAGACATATAATTAAAATATTAATAAATTTGGATATGTTGCAGCTTAGGCATTCACAGATACACCCTCGTAATATTCACCTAATATATAAGGAAACATGTTTACTAGGTACTCTTTGACTTGGTTTTTCAAAGCTGTAGTTGAGTTAATGTTTTTAAATTTTTGAGGAAGTTGATTATACAGTAGTAAACTATAGATAGTAGATGACTTCCTGCTTATTTCTAATAGGGTACTACAAACTGTCTCTTACTTCTTGTGTTGTGTGAGTGAATATCACTGTTACATAAAAAAGTTCTTTTATTTTTATGAATTAGTATCAATAATTCCAAAATGTAAATTCCATACACTGTTAATATATTCAAATCTCTAGATAGGTTTTTACAAGACCAACCATACGGAACACCTGCTATACATCTGACAATGAGCAAGAGCTCTTGAGTGAGAAAAAGCAGGAATAAAGGTCAATGGAACACCAATTAACAACATTAGATATGCGGACGATACTATCATAATAGAAGACAACCTCCAAGACCTTCAAAAGCTAATGAACAAGATAGTTGAGTATGGAGAAGAATATGGATTATCAATAAACATAAAGAAAACTAAATTTATGAGGATATCAGAAACCCAAAATAATGATGAAAGCCTGATAATTACCGGTAAATCTTTAGAACAAGTTGAAAACTACAATTATCTTTGCACAATAATTAATGACATAAAAGATTACTCCAAATAAATCAAAGTTCGAATGGAGAAAGTACGAACAAACTTCAATAAAATAAGAAAGCTACTTTGTACAGGAGAACTGAAATTAGACTTAGCTAGACTAAGAGTTAAGCTGGTAATGTGTTATATTTTCTCGACTCTGTTTTACGGGATAGAAGCAATGACATTTAACTCGTCGACTACTAAAAAGTTGGAAGCATTTGAACTGTGGATGTATAGAAGAATCCTAAAGATATCATGGACCGACCGTGTAACAAACAGCGAAGTCATGAGGGAGTCAACAAAAGCATGGAAATATTAAAAACCGTCAAGACACGAGAGCTGCAATACCTGGGGCATGTTATGCATAATGAAAGATACAACATACTTCAATTAATTATACAAGGGAAAATCCAGGGCAAGAGAAGTGTATGAAGGAGAAAAATTTCATGGTTGCGTAACTTGAGGGAATGGTACGGATGCACGTCAATCGAACTATTCACAGACCGACCGAATAGAAGATCAGAATTGCCATGATGATTGCCAAACTCTTTCGCGGAGACGGCACGTAGAGAAGAAGAAAAAGGAGATAGTTTAAATAGAGTTTGTAGGTAAGATAGGGCAGCTTTAGATAGGACTCCTAGTAGACACTCTGTCTGTTGCTTCGTTTGCAGATTGAAGGAGTTCTGGCTGATGTTAATTTATTCTTTGAATATTTATCTCAACGAATTTATGCCTAATATTTTTATTTACTTATATTTTAATGAAAATATATTAAAATTAAAATTGTAATATTTTTTAGGTGGAAAGTATTTCAGTGTTTACTACTAGAAGGAGAAAATGCTGGACCCGAAGCTCTACGCAACGCAGAGCGGTTTTATATTAACGAGGATGTATTCAATGAATTTTTACATCGTCATAAAAATGTGAAATGTTTAGTCCCCGAATCCAACAAAAAAATGCAAAACAGTTACTTAATCTTGGATGAATATGTAAGTTTCTTAAATTTATAACATTCTTCAATTTCACATTAAATTAGGTCTTCTTTTAACAGAGATATACAGAAAACGTACGCTTTCATACAAAAATCATAAATAACATCATAAATACACAAAAAGCACATACTAAACACCTTCTATGTATACAAATATAAACGAATAAATATGATATAACTATTTTATTAATACTAATATATTTATTTCTTTTTAAGATGCGGTTTCTAGACTGCACATCTGGCTCCAAATGTCCTTCAAAATCCATTCTAGACATTGGTGTATCAAACGCTCTCAAGTTTGCAGGTTTCGACGAAGCAATGTTCAAAAAAAGAGGTGGGATATACAAATGGTCCAAAGAAGCAAATAAATTGTCATGGTGATTGCCTAAGAGTAGTTTAAACTTATTGAACATTTATTTGTTGCTCAAATTGAGCCCCAAAGATGATGTTACGGACGAGTGAAATATTTTATTTTTGTACTGTTTTAATAAGATAATGTAATTTGATCGAATAATGTACATATATTTTTAAAAAATAAATGAAATAACTAACAAAAGTATTTTAGATACTAATCATTAATCCGAAGTATACTGCATTATGGTGCAATATGCTACTCAACTGCGAGTAATCATATTCTTAAAAAATTAAACGTTATGTAAAGTAAAAATTTAAGGCTTGTTCTGGGTGCTTACCGAACTAGTCCCCTTTCAAGTTTTTAGGTTATCCTAGATGAACCCTATCAATACGAAGACAATACAGATTGTCTTCCAACATAACTATATAGGTCTTAATAACGTTTTTCACATTTGGTCCCAGTGAAGATAGCCTCAAATTAGCTATCAAGTTTCACAGAACGAAATATTGCACTAGCCACATCTCCAATGCTCCCAGTTTTCAGTGATCTAATCTCCTGGTTGTTGGTCCACTCTTCATTTATTATGGTGCCCAGGTTGTTCTATACAGAAGCTTCGATAAATATTGTTTCAGAGTACAGTTGAAGATTAGAGGAGACAAAATATAGCCTTGCCTCACTCCCCACATAATTTTCACATAGTCAGTGTTCGTCACCCTCAACTCTGAGATTTGCTGTCTGATTCAAGTAAAGATTTCTATTCTAATTATTTTCAGATCCTGGTTGTTAATTACTGCTTCTTTTAGTATTTGCATCATCTTGACATGCTGTACTCGATCAAACGCTTTCTCGTAATCAATCAGACATGTGTATACGTCGCATTTATTTGTGAACCGGAACTGGTTGGAGGGGGGTTTGGGGATATATACCCTGTACATTTTTTTACGTTTTCCAGTAGAATGGAGATAATCTTATATCTATCCAATACACAAGAAAGGCACAAAGACGAATCCTAAAAACTATAGAGGGATCGCAGTGATTGCACTCAAAAGTACTACGACACCTGATAGGATATTAAAGACAAACAACCTGAAGAACAAGCCGGATTAAGGGCCGGACGCTCCATTATGGATAATATTTTCACATTAAAAATTGCAATGGAAAAATGAGTGCAGATAAATCTTCTTCTTCTTGTGCCACTCCTATCGGAGATTGGAAATCATCAAGGCTATTCTGACCTTGTTTACGGCTGACCTAAAGAGTTCATTAGTGGTGCAGCCAAACCACTCTCTCAAATTCCGCAACCATGACATTCTTCTACGGCCTGGATTCCGTTTTCCTTCTATTTTTCCCTGCATTATATTTTGAAGTAATGCGTATTTATGTCTTCTCATCAGGTGACCAAAATATTCGAGTTTTCTTCGCTTTAGCGTTAACAAAATCTCTGGGTCTTTTCCTATTCTTCGTATTACTTCACAATTTGTTATTCTTTCAACCCAACTAATCTTCAGCATTCGACGCTAGCACCACATCTCGAAACTTTCAATATTTTTCATGTTGTTCTGTTTGAGAGTCCAGACCTCTACACCGTATAATAGCGTGTTAAATACATAGCCTCTCAGCATTCTTAATCGTAGAGAGATGCTTATATTTCTGTTGCAGAAGAATTTTCTCATCTTTATGAAGGTGCCCCTGGCAATTTCGATACGTCTTTTTATTTCACTGTTTTGGTCTCCAGTTTCTTTTATTAAAGTTCCCAAGTATTTGTAACTTGATACTTTTTCTACTTGAGTGCCGTTTATACTAATATACGCTGGTTGTGTCATGTTTTTACTGAAGACCATATACTTGGTTTTTTTAATATTCATATTTATACATAATTGTTGCAAGCAATATTTATGTCTGTAAGTAATCTTTGTAATTCTTCTACTGTTCTTGCAACTAGTACAGTGTCGTCCGCGTATCGAATATTATTTACAATCTCTCCATTAATTACGATTCCTCCGTTTGCTTGTAAAAGGGCTTCCTGACAGATGCTTTCACTATATACATTAAATAACAGAGGTGACAAAATGCAACCCTGTCGTACTCCTCTACGTATTTCTATTGCTTGTGATGTTTCAGTTTCTATTTTGATGTTAGCTTTCTGATTCCAATATAGATTGAGAATTATTCGCAGATCTTTATTATCTATGTCCTTCCTTTCAAGAATCTCTCTAAGCTTATCATGGCGTACTCTGTAAAACGCTTTTTCAAAATCGATAAAACATGTATGTACCTCCTGCAGATAAATAGAGAAACCCATATAGCTTTAATAGATTTGGAAAAAGCATATGACTGTGCACCGATCTCCCAACTATGGATAGAAATGGGTAACTTGAAATTAAACCCAATTTAGCTAAGACAAGGCTGCTGTCTGTCGCCCACCTTATTTAAAATCTATTTGAACAGATCCTTGGTGAAATGGGTAAAAAAATGTAGAAATATGGGAATAACGGTGGAAGAAAACACACTATATACACTTTTCTTTGCGGATGAGCAGGTAGTAATTACCGAAAACAGTTACGATCTTAGCTATATGGTAAGAAAACTGCAAAAATAATATGAGGTGGTAGGTTTAAACATGAATATGACAAAATCAAATGGGTGCAATCCTGCAAATATTTGGGGGTCATTTTCAACAAGAAAGGAAATAGCGCAGATGAAATCAGGTAAAGAATAAACAAGGGCAGAGCAGAGCACTTCTCTTTCGATCTCGTAGAGTATTTCCTGTAATTCTTCTCAGTACTCTGATCTCTGCCGTTTGCGTTGTGGCTGTGTCGGGTTTTATTTTTGAGGCATATGTCATTATTGGTCTTACACTGGCTTTATAAATTCTTGACTTCATCTCAGTAATAATGTGCCTGTTTCCCCATATAGTTTTATTAAGCCATCCTGCCAGTCTATTTGCTTTTTGTACTTGATCTCTCACTTCTTTGTCCAGGTCTCCATAGCTTCTTCTTCTAGTTCCTATCCGTTTCGGATGTTGGAAATCATATTGGCAATCATAACCTTGCTCGCTGCGGCTCGAAACAGCTCCGTTGAGGTTTTCTTAAACCATGTTCTTAAATTCCGCAGCCACGATATTCTCCTTCTACCGGGTCCTCGCTTACCTTGCAATATAGACTGTAGCAGGGAGTAACGGTGCTGATTTCTCATAACGTGTCCCAGATATTGCAATTTTATGCGTTTGATCGTAAACACAATCTCTGGTTCCTTCTTCATTTTTCCTAGAACTTCCTTGTTCGTGATCCTTGCTGTCCATGATATTCTCAGCATTCTTCTATAAAGCCACATCTCAAATGCTTCAAGTTTTTTTAATAGTGGCGTCTGTAAGCGTCCATGCCTCCGCCCCGTACAACAACACAGAGAAAACATAGCATCTCAAATGTCTAATTTTTGTATCAAGGGATATGTTGTGACTTTTGAAGATGGCGCTCATTTGTTAAAGACCGTTCTTGCCTTTCCTATGCGGCACTTTATTTCCTGTAAATTGCTCCACTGTTCGTTAATAATAGTTCCCAGGTAACAATACTGTTTTACTCGCTCTATATGCGTCCCATTAATGTATATATGAGCCCCATTTATATTCTCCTTGCTGATAATCATTTGTTTCGTTTTGTGGGTATTAATGTTTAGTCCGTACTGTTGACTGTACTCGTTTATTCTGTCCATTAGCCTCTGAAGTCCCTCTAAACTATCTGCTATCACCATGGTGTCGTCGGCATATCTAACATTGTTTACTCTTTCACCATTTAGAAGGATGCCTTCGTCTATTCCGTAAAGAGCCTCGTAAAAAATTTTCTCTGAGTACATATTAAATATATGTGATCTGTTTCTTCTCCGTTAATTTTCATGTATGCGATCTGATTCCAGTAGAGTTCTGAAATTATTCTGAGGTCTTTGTCATCCAGGTCTGCCTCTTTTAAAATGTTTATCATCTTTTGATGTTGAACTCTGTCAAATGCCTTTTCGTAGTCGATCAAGCACGCGTATACGTCGCAGTTAACGTCCCTGCATCTTTGAATCAGTACCTGTACTCCAAAAAGTGCCTCTCTGGTACCCACTGCGTTAATGAAGCCGAACTGTCTGTCCGATATTTGTTCCTCGCACTTCTTATAAATTCTTCCATGGATGACTCTAAGAAACAGTTTCAACATGTGGCTCATTAGGCTGATTGTTTGATATTCTTCGCACTTTTTAGCCCCCTGTTTTTTAGGTATCGCTATGAATTCTGATTCTAGCCATTTATCAGGGATGATTCCTGTATTGTAAATTTTATTGAAGACAGCCGTGATCCAAATTATTCCTTCTTCCTCCAAGAGTCTTAAAAATTCAGCTTCGATATTATCAGGCCCTACAGCTTTCCTGCTTTTCATCCGTTTTATTGCTTCTTCTCCATAGCTAGACAGTCTAATTCCTAGGTATTTTATTCCAATTACTTGTCTTGTTTAATACTGATGCCATCAATTTCTATTTTAGATCTGGTTGGTTCTTTGCTGACTACTATTGTTTTAGTTTTCTGAGAATGTCATATTAAATTCTTTTGCGCTTATGTTAAATCTGTAGACCAGTCTTTGCAGACTTCATCTTGGGTTATCAATATTGCGTCGTCTGCGTAACAGAGTACTTTTTTGTTTCCCATTTTGTATCCTCTTCCTTTGTTAAAGTTTTTGATGATTTTATCCATAATCAAATTAAAGAGCATGGGGCTCAATGAATCCCCTTGTCTTATTCCGCTGCCTATTTCTATAGGTTCTATAAGTTGTCCATCTCTACAGCCACGTTAGCTCCCTACTGATACCATACATCTCATAGAAACAGGATTATGCCTCGGATCAAGGTTATTGTTAATGGGAGAACATAAAAATAAAACTCTTTGTAAAAACCAACAATAATTGTTTTATTTACATCAACAACAAATTCACAAATATTGGCTACTTAGGAAATGATCCACCAGATCCTTTCTTATATTAGTACAATCATTAATTTATTAAGTTTTTGTTATGGGGATTTATTTCACGTAAAAATAGTGCCGGGAGACGTTAAATAATGACCTGAGATTAAACACTGAGTTCTGGAAAACTTATAACGAATTAAACATTTAAAGAACGCATTGTATAGTGCAATCGAAAAAAATCCTAATTAAAGTAAGTTGTGCAATCAGAATAACGAGGGTTGAGATTTTAGCCACTTGCACAAGTGGCATAGCTGACATATAAATAACCTCAATTATTGCTTATAACTGTATAAATAAAATTTTCAATACAATATGTTTACAAAAGTTTATATTTATAATAATGCGTAGATTGTTAATAGTGTAATGACATGAATGTCACGCACTGACGCTTATTATTTGCAAACTAGTTGAAATTCCATCCTCGTTTAAATGTAAAATCCACAACATACTTTAATTACGATTTTCCTTGAAGGCTGAAACTACGGGAGGTGGGTCATTCACCTTTCAAAAGGAAATAATTCTTGTATATTACTCGTATTTTTATATATTTATAAACTCAATATCTACATTTTCATGTAAAGTCGATCCAGGACTTGATCATCTGCGATATTATCAAGCTAATCATGTGGAATATTAGTTAAACTCATATGCTTTTTCGAACTGATTACTGAAAGTTGACAGATTTTTAAGCGTACCCGCTCTTCCCATAGGGACCTACTGAAGAGTAACGCCAAGCCGTGAGCTCTCATCTCTTACCGTACCGCTCATCCATAGGTCGTTCCGATAGACCAGCGTATTCCAGTCTAAATAGCAGACCCATTTTAAACTTTTAAACTAAGCCAAACTAAGTTAGTTTGGCCTACTTTGAGTTTTAGTAACGATATAGTAACAAAAAATATAATTTCTGTAGGTTTAGGAAGTTTTCTAAAAGCGGTTTCTGAGAAAACCATTACTAATATTTAATTAAAAACATTCCAAGAAGTTCGTTAGCTGTAAGCTTTGACTTTCATGACTGAACTGTAAGGTATAAGCGGTTTAAGATTAACACTGTTATAATGTAAAAAAACGATCAACAAGATGAAAGTCATTTTTTTCAATGTTGCGAGTAAGTAATTAAAACAAGTGAAAATCATTAAACCTTGAATACATCCAAAAACTGTGTAGTATCTTCTAGAATAGATTTCTCTAGATTTTTTTCACACATTTCAACATAATATGGTTCCCTGCCTGAATCCCATACCTCTTCGGACATTCACACAAGAAAATAACACGTTTGTGCTTGACTGGAGTGACTGGACTAAAAGATCTCCAGACCTCAATCCTATAATATTGAGGATGATTTTGAAAAGAGCAAAATGGGCGATGGAAACTCTTTGTCTGAGTTATTTCTACGGCTACAAATTATTATTGACAAAAATACAAATATTTTCCTTTAATGAAAGTAACGAAAAAATTTATTTTTTCACCATCTATATTAAAAATATCAAGTTTTGGTTGCCAAAAATTGTAAGTTTAGACATAAAAATCAAATTTCTGATATTATTTACAAGTATATAAAAAATTATGTTAATGTAATATATTGTTGTATACAAACGTTTTGATTGATCCATTTAGGATATAGAGATCCCTTTAAAAGTTTGCAGAAATGTCACATCCTGGGTTCTTATCTTTCAGAATATAAAAACGTTTAACTGAATAAAATGTAATATATAATAAGGTATAATTACTTAAATATAATGTTAAATCTATCACAAAACATTAGGCTACGTGTATAGAGGTATCGTCAGAAAAAATTGATCAAATAAGATAATAATTAGAAACCTCAACAAGTTCGGTTAGTACCAGATTCTTTAAGTAAATAAATTTGTTATGCAGTTTTGTTAAGGTTTCTTCAACAAAATAAATATAGGTATACATATTTCCATTTTTTCTTTCATATTCTCGCTACACTCAGCCGTTTAAATACCAATATTTAAAGTCAAATCTAATTTGGTAAATATCATTTCTAGTGAGTCATCCTAAGATACGCTTTATCGAACAGTTCTAATTCATGGGTTAGATAGTTTGCCTTATTTCTCAGCACTTTAGCCTTACTACCTGCATTTTCTAAACGGTTTAATTCTTGTTCTAATTCTACTAATTGTTTGTCCATCACACTGGTGGTGTCATCTATAACTTGGCACAATCTAAAAGAAAAATTAATTTTAGAAATGAATTTTACACGTATCTACATACAGAATCCATGATGATGCGCAAAAATTTATTAATTCAGAGTTTATAATAAAATTAGCATACTTATGTCATATATTTAACAAATTAAATGATCTTAATAAGTCTTTGAAGGGAAAAAATAGTCATATCCTGCAATTGGCAGATAAAATCACTGGGTTTCAGAAGAAGTTGCTCTTATGGAAGAGAAAATTAGAAGATCAAGAAATTGACTGTTTCTCTGCTTTACAAGATATTCTACAAGAAAAATCGATAGAAATCCTTAATCCCTCTTTAGATAGGTTTACACAACACATGTTATCATTGAGCGAACTTTGAAAAATATTTTCCCGAAGACATAGAGAAATAAAACTGGGTCAGAAACCCTTTCCTATAATCCACGTCATCGATACTTTCAACAAAGGAAGAGCAACTGACAGAATTGTCCTGTGATTCCAGTCCTAAGCTTCAATACGACAAGGATAAAAAACTGTTTGAAATTTGGAGCTCACTTTCTCATGAATATCATGCCATCAGCAATGCTGCATTAAAGGTTTTATTACCATTTGCGACTTCGTACTTGTGTAAAACTGACTTTTATGCAGTTGCAATAATTAAAAACAAGTACAGGTCAAACATAAACTAAAAAATGAGAGTGGAAATTTAGAAACTGGAGCCCCGGTTTGAGCTGTGCTCAAAAAAGCAAGCACATCATCCCTCACATTAATCAGCCAGTTACATAAATAAATATCCTTTTTCATTTTTGTGCCTGTTTTGATTTCGTTCTTAAATTCTAAGAAAAAATATAAATGTTCAAATAGTGTTGTATTGAGGGGGCGTCGCAAAAAATAGCAAAGTCCCAAGGGCCTCAAAGTACGAATAAATTTGGGAAGCCCTGATATAATGTGCTTAGTAGACACAAAAGTATTGATGGTTGGCACGTAAATAGTTGTTTTAATATTTGAATTCTAAGGAAGCTAATATTTCAGCCGAACACGTCAGATTGACTATATTTTTTGTCAAATAAATCAAATGAAGCCCAATTGCATACATATTATAATAAAAAACCGAATGAAAACTTGTTTAAATATCTGATATAAAACTAACCTTGCGAAAGTACCACTTAGTTCTTGTTGGACTTGATGGCTGCAATTGGCGGATGTAAGATCTATGATCATCCTTAATTTCTTGGAGGCGTGCTGCACATACTGCTTTTTAAAAGTCTTTTCTTTTGCTTTGTTTGTCCACGTTAAACGCTCGTACAGGTAGAGACAACCGTACATTGCACCTAAAATATAGAACCACTTGAAACTAACAACATTTACTTTGCAATATTTCGGTATATCACAAACTGCAAAATGAGTTCTTTATTTAAATATATTAAATGCCATTTTAATTAAAATTTTTCAATCTGTGACTGATGAAGAGATTATATTATTAATTAACACATAGTAAAAAAAGGTATGTGGGCCAAAATATTAAACACATGTACAATATGTAGTAATAGTTTATGCATTTTAAACAGTTATACAATAGTATAACTTTTTAAACCGCATTAGCCTTTTCCTTTTGTTTTAACGTTTCAACGTTTGGCATTCCTTTCCATAGGGAGCTGTAGCGTCCTCCGTGGTTATCGTTAGTTGTTGCCCAGGAAATCGTTAGGGTCTTCTAACTCTAATGCCACAAAGTGGTCGCATTGCTCCTGTAGTGATCCTTTCCCAAGTTAACATTACCATTAACCTTTTCTAACTTAGCTGCACCGTACTGAAGAGGATCAATAGTCAGAAATACGTATATACGGTTGCCTTGCATCGATATACCATTTTTGGTTTCCTGTTTTGCGAGACATGCCATTACATTTCACTTTTATTATTCACTAGCATTAACCTTTTCCTTATATATATACTCACCAGTAATAGCAAGAATTCTCCAGCCTATAGTCTTAAACAAAAATCCTGCTACCAGTAATCCGCCCATTGTGCCCTGCGAGGAGGCTCCCATAATGGCCAACCTCGAGAGCAACGACCACTCGTCTATGCTGGTGCTGGCGTAGAGCAATCTGCCGTCGACGACATCTGTGGGAGTTGAAGGAATATGTGTGCTAGTAGGGCTCTCCCGTTTGTTTCTCAGTGCTAGGAAATTGGCCCCGCTACCGGCGTACTTCTGAATAAGGCTGGTTAATCCCCATGAAAACCTAAAACAGAAAACGGTGAAATAGGAATTGAATATGCAAGCAATGTTTTAAGTCAATAACAACATACAGTGGAATATATAAGTCTGTAGGTTAAAGATAATCGACGTCATGTTTTATTAGGACACCACAGGCTTTATTTTGACAATTATTACTCTTCTATACCTCTGCTTGTATATATTTCCAAACAAGGTATTCACAGTTTAGTAACCGTAAGAAGGAATAGAATTCCAAATTGTAAGCTTCCGGATGAAAAGGCTATGAAAAATGAAGAAAGAAGAAATAGTGTAGAGTTTGTTGGTACTTGCGATGGTGTGGAAATAAGTAGCTTAGTGTGGAAAGATGGACAAATTAGTCACGTTTCTATCGACTTTCGCTGGCGAAGTTCCTAAAACTACTGCCAAGAGATACGACAAGAAAAAAAAGAGACCAAACAAGTTAGTTTGTTGGACCGCAATATGGGACGGAATAAAATTATTCTAAGGAGTAAAAAATGGTATTTTAGAATATTTTACCATCTGCTAGATCTAACCGTTGCTAACAGTTGGATTCTTTATAAGAATTCAGCTGAACATAGAACTGGCGCGAAGCCTTAAGTCACACACGCTCAGTTTAGCATAACTGGCAGAAGCATTATGCAAGACTGGAGGGCGATTCACCATTGCAAATAGGGGAAGACCTTCAGCAAGTGAAACTGAGGAGGCGCTACAAATAAAGAAGAGAAAAGACCAGCACAAGTTTTATATATTTTATAAACTCATTACCAATAAACTATCAATAAATTACAGAGAATAAGAAAATTATAAGCAGATTTATATTGTTTCTTCTATTTCTAATCATATATTATCGAAATTGTGAAATTCATTTGCAAAAAATTTCAATACATACGAAACAAATATTGTTCTAATATTTTAAATATATGTATGATAAAACAATTAGAAAGTACCTTACCTGAATTCTAAGTCCTCTTGGAAATCTGCACACAGATTATCGCAGTTTAATCTATACAATATTTCGAAAGGTTGTCGTCTTGGCAGTACAACGCTGGACGCCATCTTATGACTTTCGGGTATTAAAGCTTCCATTCTCTCCGTCATTTCTTTCTGACTAGCTTCCATATTAAGGGCCAACGCGGTTGATAATCTAGCTCTTAGATTCGAACCAAGCCCCGTTTCAACGTGAAGGTGAAGTTCTTTTTTATAGACGTTGAGCACTAGTGGTTCTGGATGGAAGGGTAAATTGAATTCGTCTACTAACGTACTTAATCTGCGAATTTCTTCACTTAGCGCTTTTGAAACTCTAAAACATAAACAAAATAAGCACTTTGGATAAGAGAGAACGAAAAAGGTTAATAAGAACAAATTGAATTTAAAGTATTATCACTACTAAGAAGGTAACAACATAGTTGGTATCAAAAGCTCCTAACCTCAAACTCTAATATCGTTCTGAAACTACTGTATTTAATAAGAATAAATATTTTAATTTAAAATTTATATTATAGAGATAATAAAGTAGGGCAGATCTGTGAAAAAACGTCTACATCTGGATGTGAGAGGTGACATTTTGATTTTTGCAGAAAAAGTTGTGTGTTAACTTCAATAATAATAATTGACTAACCCTCCCTCTCAAATATATCGGGACTATTAATAAAAAAATCATTATATAGATATGAAACGTTTTCTGTATCAACCATTCGAAAGATAGTTATTCAATCCCATAGTTATTTACTTCTTTGACTTCCAACGATGTATAAATTATTTTATAACATTTTTTTGCAAAAAGAAATATATAACAAAATAGCAACTTTTAAATACAGGATATTTCAAAAAGATATTGTCATAAATTAAATCACGCATTCCAGGGACAAAAATAAATTGATTGAATCCAATACCTTAGTACAAAAGTATACACAAAAAAAGTTACAGCCCTTTGAGTTTACAAAATAAAAATTGTTTTTTGAATTATTTAGTAAACTACTTGAGATTTTGTAATAAAAATAAACACGTTACTTTCTTGTTCTGAAAGCATTTTTCATCCAAAAAATAACAAAATCTAAGCACACAGAAAAATTTTAAGGGGGTGTGTAGCCCTAAATCGCCCCAAACTTTTCAGTACGTTCAAATCAAATGAATTTTGTGGAATCATTAGTTTAACACATTTTTTTTAAAACTTTTTTGCCTCTTATCACTGTTTTCAAAAAACAGTTTTTATTGAGTTACGGCCCTTTTCATTTATCTTTAAAAAATTACGTGCAACTAAATAAATGGTTTAAATGAATTAACACGTACAAAAAATGTCTATAACCTCTATAAATTTGATATTACAATAAATGTTCAATACACATTCGGTATCGTTTTAATAATAAAAACCGAATGAGCTGAAAAATAATATTTTTCTGTCGAAATTGATGTGCAGCTTCAATTATTCTAGCCCTCAATTGTTGTTCGTCCTCTATTGTTACAGAATGTACTTTCTCTTTTATAAACACCCAAAAGCACAAGTCCATGGGGTTAAGACCTAGACTTCTGGGTGGCCAAGAAATAGGTGCGTCACGACCCCTTCCAATCTACCGAATAGGATACTTGCTGCAAAGGTATTTCCGGACTTCATTACTGTAATGCGGTGGAGCGCCATCTTGTAGAAACCACATATTTTGCCTTATTGCAATATTCACTAATTCCAAATACTCTTCTAAATCGTACTCAAAAGTTTGGGGGAATTTAGGGCTGCACATCCGCCTTAAAATTTTTCTGTACCCTTAGATTTTGTTGTTTCTTTTATATGAAAAATGCTTTCAGAATAAGAAAGTAATGTGTCCATTTTTATTACAAAATGTCAAGTAGTTTATAATATAATGCAAAAAAACGATTTTTATTTTGTAGCTACAAAGAGATGTACACTTTTTTTTGTGTACACTTTGTAACACTTTTTTCTATTATTATTATATTAAATTATTTTTATTTCTTTTACCCCCGTGATGATACGCTCATGTTTGGTTTACCAACTTAAAAATTTTATTGAATGCACGGTATTTACACACACAGCACACTCTTTAGAATAGCTCGAGACAGAGACAGTTTCGCCATGTTAATCGCCAACGTCAAGGGGACTTGATAGGGCACGTTAAGAAGAAGAAGCACGGTATTTCCCTAATTACGGAAGATTTTTTAATCCTTTCCGTCTTAATCCTGAATATGAAAGGAACTAATGCTTTTCGGTATGCGGGTTATTTTTCATAAATTGGTAATTTTCATCGAAGGTCCGTATAGTAATCTTTTGACAATAACATAATCCAAAGGATTGTATGTTTCTCAGGTACAATTACTAATACCGTAATTACCTCAAACCTTTCGATGTCCATTAGAATATTTTTACCTTCTCAGAACTACATACAACTGTCCTATCATTTTTGAGTCGGAAAATATTTTCTTCTTCTTTTTTCTTGGGAAGTTTGTGAAATTTTGAGTAAAACCGATTTACTTTATTAGATTATATTAAATAGTTCTAAAGTACCTTTAATGGTAATTAAATTCAGTGTTTAATACCAGTATAGTATTAACTTCAGTAAGGCTGCAGTCCAAGATTTACTGTAAGTAATTATTACCTTCAATTTATATGGACGAGTAATTTGGTATGGTAACATATCATCCTCCATTATCTGGAGGTATCTAAAGTTCCTTCATGTCTTCACCTTTAGATTGCTGAATTTTGTATTCAATTTAAAGAACATTTCAATAAATTCAAGAAATTTCAATAAATAATAATTATGAACATTTAAGTCACAGTTTTTCATTAAATAATAGTGCGAGATAGTTAATCCACTTAACCAAGTGCGGTTTGGTTTATGTTTTCATTTCTGTAACCTGTTTGTTTTTTTGTAAATTTAGAGTTAAGTAATTTTTGTTATCTTTTGTTTGCTATAATTTTTGTTCATTTTCTTTTCTGTAATATCTTGAGATACGCCAAACTATATTTGTACATGATTGTCTTATATATCTTGGTAAAGGTATTTTATAATTATATTACTGCTTATTTTTAGATGTATAACACCATTTCATAGTTGTGTATTCTTATTACTTGTGTTGCATTCAGCAGCATCATAATTTTCTTGTTGAATATATTGTTATTGTTTTATGTATGTATTTTATTTGTCGGCTCCTAACAAGTTCCCTGATAAAATAGTAACTCTGAGTATTTGCTTTCTACCTTTTAAATATTACTATACCTTTAACCAGTAGAAAGATCAGGCTGATTAAGTTTCGTAGGTAAGTAAGTGTAATACCTAATATATTTATTATTTGTTCATATATTGTGTTGACCAAATTTATTTGATAATTAACTGTTGGTATCTTTCCTTGGGTTTGATCTCTGAACCTAAATATCTTTCCTCTCTTTTCTTTTCTAATGTTTCTTAATTTTCTCCTTAACCCCAAAAAATTGAGTGGCGCCCTGTTTCTATCTTATCTTATCTTTGGTAATTTTACCTATTCTAATTTCTAATTTACCTTTTCTAATATCTCTTATTCTATCTTTACTTATTTCGTCCGTTGGACTCATTCCCGATTCCAAAAGCTAGTTTCGAACCCACGACTCGCTCTCCACCAACCATCTGGCTGCCGTCCGCAGTGTCTCCATTGGTTATCTTTCTAGCACCATCCAAAAAAGATTTCCGAGGTTACAACTTTTGTACTAAGCTAAGTTGGATTCAATCAATTTATTTTTGCCACCGGAATGCGTGATTTAATTTATGACATACCTTTTTGAAACACCCTGTATATCGTTCAATTTAAAAAGGAATACTAGAATTCTTACCTTTGTTCAACATCTTCTACCATACTGTGTATCTTTTTCTTCATTTCTTGAGTTACCACCATTAGCTGCTGTTCCGTATAGTTAATTTTGTCATTTAGTTCTTTGCGTTGACATAATTTATCTTCTTTTAATTTCAGAGCATCGGACAATATACCTTCCAGCATGTCCCGTAATTCGCTAAAAATAACCCATTAAACATTTGAGGAATATGAAACAGAAAAATGTACATTATTCAACTATAAAGTCATTCCGGCTTCAACTTAAAACGCCAAACTCGGTGAACACTATACAAAATGTAGCTACGTCTCCCAAAAAAATCTATGATACTAAAGAAATTCTGATATTAAATCAAAAGTTTCATTGCGATACAACAAATCGTGTAGATACAGTGAATTTGTAAAATTAGCAAGCCGGTCGAAGACTGTAATGCCGTTTTAGCAATGTCGCCATCTTTGTTTCCCGTCTGAACGTATTCGTTACAAACTCTCCTTTAATTTGACACCTCAAACGTTAAAATCAAACCTGTCACAATGAAGATACGTTATAGCGCTCCTTTGGCAATGTCGACATCTTTGTTTTCTCTCTCATTGACCGAAAAATAGAATAACTGTGACGGACCGAAAAGAAGAAGAATTGACAGACGTAAAGAAGAACTGTCACAGTTGACAGACCGAAAAGAAGAAGAGGCAGCCATTGTGTCTTCATTTTTCAGTGGAGGAGCGGGGCGTGTGGTGGGCGGAGCTTGTGACACCAGTGGGCGGTGCTCGTGACGACAGTGGGCGGCGCTTGTGACGTAAGTGTGTATTGCTGGATAGTTGCTAATGCACATGCGGAGGGGCGTGGCTGTTGAGATAAAAAATTTTCTATTTCCTAACTGCCGCGACCTCTGCTTATCCCAGAACATTTTCGAGAAATATTTTTTTAAAATTTTCGGAGATAATTATCCCAACAGCAATGGTATTGCGAATTTAAACGTCATCCGCCGTGTAATATACCGGGAGATAGAGGCATCTTTGGGCATTTCAAAGACCTCGAACCAAAAAATCCTTTATGAAGAACTGGGTGTTAAGAAGTTGGCTTCCCATTGGTTAAACGTTGTATTCCTCATTTCCTCAAAGAAGAGCAAAAATCGGTTCGCGTCAATTGGTGTCGAAAAACATTGGAACGGTTCAACAAAAGAAGCTCAAAAAACGCTTATAGGTAGTAATGTTAGTGGTGATAAATCTTGGATTTACTCCTACGAACCGGAAAATTAACGCCATACCGCTGTTTGGGTGAGGAAAAACCAACAAAGTGTGTCAAAAAAAATGGTAGCAACTTTTGTGTCAAAATCTGGTCATGTGGCAACAATTGCTTTAGAAGATCGAAGAACAGTTACTTCAGACTGATATTTAACCGTTTGTTTGCCAGAAGTTATCGCGAAACTAATACAAAGCAACACACAACGGCGAACTATCCTAGATCAGGACAATGCAAGTTCTCACAGTGCCCAAAAGTCAATAGAGTTTTTGGAGCTTCAGAAGATTGAATTGTTAAACCATCCACCTTATAGCCCCGACCTAAGTTCCACGACTTCTTCACGTTCAAAAAGATCAAGAATTAAATGCATGGGCAGCGATTCCAGTCGGCAGAAAAAGCCATCGACTGTTTTACCAATTGGTTTGAATATATTCAAAAGTGTATCGATTTTGGTGGGACATATTTTTAATAGCAATAAAGCAAAATTGAAAAAAAAAACTATTATTACTCACTTCGTTATATATTTCCCTCTTTGCGAATGCTGTTCGAATTTCGTCTTTACCGCAGATTTGGAAATACATTCTTCGAATTTCTTTTCGAAGTCTTCAAATTCAAAATGTCTGGTTTGGAAACCTTCGGGTAGGGATATCGAATTGGATTTTCCTTCGGCCATCCTGACTTGCAACATTTCTTTCGCAGAAATAAAGAATATTCGTTCTTCGGCCTCTTTGGGAGTGCACACTTTTAGTTCTTTGACGAGGAAATCTACTGCTCGTTCTTGATGCTGTTTCCGGACCTATATAAATACATTATTAGTAAAAAAACTATAAAAGAAGTGACGAAGGATCAAACTCTTCGTCCTGAGTCTAAGGTACAATAATGAGAGGTAATAAAACAAAACATACAAAATTATAACGGGGCAATTCCCAGTCCGCCAGTGGTTGGTGGTATATCACAGTTTAGAAAACCTACAATGCAGTACATAAACACTTCTAGTGTAACCGGTACATTAGTAAAATTACTGAAATAATGAAAATATCCTAAAAGATTACAATTTTCAAAACTTTTCGGTCCTGAAAAAATCGATTTAATTTTCTTAACTTTTAAAATATAATTAAAATGTTTTTATGCCGTTTTATGTGGCTTTTTTTGTAAATGTTCAAGTAATCATACCACATGTTTTTTAGATTAACGATCAAAATGTTATCCTCTTTGGTTCATTATAATACAGTGGAAATACTTATTTTCAGATTTCACTAATGATGGTCTGATAGGATTGAAAACGATTTGAAAGTTGTAATCCTTTTTAAAAATCAATCATGGAGTTCTAGCAAAAATGTAGGAATATGGAACGACTCTATAAGAGAAATGTACCAAAGGAAGCTAGCACAGAAGATACAGCTGAAACAAATAGACGACATATAAGATATAAACGCGAGCTGGGAGAAAATTAAAAACAACATTGAAGAAGCAGCAACAGAAGCTGTAGGGAAACGCAAAGTCGTACTAAACAAAAGAAACAACAACAATACACCATGGTTCAGAAAAGAAATAAAAGAAATGTAAAGAGAAATGAGGTCTACACGAAGCACAAAACAATAAATACTCCAGAATCCCGAGACACCTATAGAAGAATTCGAAATGAAACAAAGCAGTTGGTAAGAAGAACAAAAAATTAACACTGGGAACAGTTTACAAAACAGATGGAAAGCGAATTCTACGGTACACAAAAACAAATATGAAGATTCATAAGAAACCAACGGAAAGAAATGGCAGAATTGAAGGAATATAATAACATACCAAAGAAGTCAGACAGGGTGACTCAAGCCCACTTCTCTTTAATATAATAATGGACGAAATAGTACAAGCAATATGTAAAGGTCATGGTTACAGAATGGAGAACAAAAATATCCAAATATTATGTTATGCCGACGACGCTGCATTAATCGCCGAAACAGAAGACGAGCTCCAAAGATTAACACACGTCTTCAATACAACAGCCAATAAATACAATATGATAATACCAGCAGAAAAAAAAACAAATGTATGACATATAACTAGTTACGGAGATGTTGAAGAAGAAGTACGACAACAAAGCATAAAAGCAAGTAAAGCGGCGGGATCTCTTAATGACACAATCTGGAAGAACACCTAAGACAAGACACAAAAACAATAATCTATAAAGCAGCAATTAGACCTATATTAACACACACGGCAGAGACAACACCTGACACATCTAAAACGAGAAGACTACTAGAAACAACAAAGATGAAAATACTCTGATAAATATCAGGGAAAAGTCTGTTGAATAGCGAGAGAAGCGAAAACATAAGAAGAGCATGCAATATAGAAGACATAAATGGATGTGTGACAAAACGGAAACAGGAGTGGAACGAACACAGTAGAATAGCAGATGGTAGGATAGTACGAATAGGACGAGATAAGTCACCAAATGAACGAAAAGTATTGGCAGACCAAGAAAAAGATGGTGCGATTATTTAAACAATTTAGGAAGCTAATATTGAAGAAGAAATGGGCTTTAAAGCCTACATACAAGAAGGAAAAAGAAGAGTTATTAATTACAAGAAAAGAGATATCTATATTCTCCTCCAACTTACGAAATAAGAAAAAATGCACTTTTCAGAGATATCTGAAATGCGCTAAAAAGCAGAGTAACTGGTCCTGGAGATATACCTGCAGAACTGCTAAAATACGCACATTTAGCCTTGGTTTGTAGTTTACAGAACTGTACCCAATATTCTCTTTTTTCGCGAAACCGTTCAATTGTCAAACATCTTTTAAATATAAAAATAATATTATATCACTCACCTCTTCCTGCTCATTGCAATGCTTATTCAGAAAAGAAAACGTAATTTTAATATGAATATGATTACAAAGAAAAATAAAATATTAATAGCAGCTTTAATAAATAAACATGGATTTTCTACAATCACTTAATAAAGAACGCTTTTTCACTATTATTTTCGACGAAAAGCTAACATTTACTGAAAAATCTCACTTTATTGCTAAGTGCCAAGCAAACTTACTAAAAAAAGTACTTAAATAGTTACTTTTAATAAGTGGTAGCAGAAAAAACGTTGACTGTATCACGAGAAAAAAGGAAAGTTATCACTCTCGAACAATTACCGCGTTTTTCATGGTAATTGTTATTCGCCAACAACAATTTATCACTTTTTTCTCTAAATACGTCTAAAAATAACTATTATAAGCAGTGCAAAGCATTTAAAAATGAGTTGTTTGGAAAATAATAAGTAAATTACCTGATCCAAAAATTCGGGCTCGGAAGCCGAGGCGTCCCATCGGTTATTCAAGATGAAAATGTTAGGTTTGGATAACTTTGTTGATACTTTGTGAAAGAAGTTTTTCTCCTAAAAACACAAACATTAGATTATATCACAAAAACAGTGTTTAAATTAGTTCAATACACTTTTTCTAATATAGTTATTTATATTTAGAATAGCCAACAGCCTATACACAGAAGAAATGAATGTAAGGAAAGGTACAAGACAGGGTTGTATTCTCTCCCCACTACTGTTGGGCATTTATAAAGAAAAGACATTTCAGTTTGCACAACATATCGAAAAAGACATCGAAATTAATTATCTTCCTATTAAGAAACTAAGATTTGCTGACGATAATGCCATAATAGCAGACAATTTATTTAGTGATTATCAGAAATGGAGGGGGAAAAGTAAGGGCTTAACACCAGAAACTTCTGATTCTAATTTTTAAGCATCTAGCTTTATTTTGATCCTGTGAATGATGCAAAAGTTATTTGGTGAAAAAAAAGGTTTAAAAATATTTTTATTGTTAATGTTTGCTAATATTATGTAATAATTAAAGGTATATGCTGTAAAATAATACTTACCGTTACCATCAGTGTCGATTCCGCGTTAGCTACCAAAACAAATACGTCAGCATCCAAACAGTGTTTGTCGATCCATTCATCCAAATTTGGAGTGACGTCCACTCCAGGTGAATCAACAAACACGACATCATCTCGAAGTAGAAGGCACCTGTTTTTCGGCCAATAAACCTTGACCAGGGATGATTCGTTAAGTTTTTCTTTACATAGTGCATGTGCCAATTGCCCTACAGATTCTACAGCACAATGTTCGTCTGAACCTTCTAAAACTAGATACGGTTCATCTGAAGGAGCGCCTTCTACCTGAAATGACAAAATAGGCATTAAAATAATGTTAATCGACGCGACCACTGATACCGGTACAAATATTACTAAAGAATAGGTAGTATATGCAATAAAATTAACAAAAGACAACATAGCTCCTGGGCCTGAATGATGAACATAGAGATTTAATAGTCGATTATATAATTCTGTAAGGTATTTGTATTCTTCGTTTTTTTTTACGTTTATTTGCCTTGGTATTGATTCATTTGTTCTTTTTTCTAATGATATATTTGAACAAAACAAAAATAATAAAGTGACCTTACCTGTAAGAAACAATTCGTAGTATGGCCAATCCCACTTGGTAAAATTTTATCTCCCAGCATAGCATTAATTACAGAACTTTTTCCATTTGATGTCCTGCCGAAAAAAGCGACTTTCATGTGATCCCGCTGCAATACATCTCTGATACTGTGTACTTTACTAACATATTCTTCTGTATTCTTTACTTTTTCACTATTTACTATTTTTTCATCCTTTTCAATCTCTAAAAAAAATAGAAATTGTTTATTTTACTGTTACTCTAATATCATATATTGACTTACCATGCATATAATGAACAGTATCCTCGACATACTCCTCGATCTCGCCGAATATATCATTAATCTTCTTCTTCGCCTTGACGAATATCTGCAAAGGAGAATTGTCAAGTGGAATACGTTTTCCTCGTTCTGTTAAAACGGCCGTGACGGGTGGTCTATTGTGCGGTCCGTCACCAGACATCAATGATATTGTGCGATTTACATAAGCAGCCATATCATGCGTGCTGGTATTGTGTACAACAAACTAAAGTTCAAATACAGTGAGACACTCAGCATGCACCGGCAATCATTCGAAGTAACTGAAACATAAAAAAATAATAATTAAAAAAGCATTCCACTACCATATAAAATAAAATTATTTGCTACATTTGTGATGCATATAAATAATTGGTATTTATATGATTTTGAAACTTGCATATATAATTTTTCTCCAAAACTGATTTTTGTAATTGTTGTAATAAAAAAACCCCTTGACTAAAACGGGACTGTTAAAAAATCCAGATTATACAGAAATTTGAGTATTGTTCAGTATTTGGCAGTAAAACCCCGATTATCCATGAGCGGGTTATCCTGGCTACAGATTATCCATACTGTGGATTATTCGCACTACAATTTACCTGGGCCAGTGCTTGGGGAATCCCTGGAAATAATTTGCTTGTCATCTGCAGCTGTGTGGTATGCTAAATACTTGCACACTGTAGAAGAGTCGCTACTGTGTTGTATGTATTCTTAACACATGTCTTTATCTTCAAAATGGCAACAGCTAGTTTAAACGCAAGGGAAATGTTTTAATAATTTGAACAAAAATTATGGATTTTAAGCAGAAGTGATAAGCGTGAAAGTGTCATCATTATCACAAATCTATGAAGTTGGCAAGCAAATAATAAACGATATTTTGCACAGTATTTTAAGCTCGAATATTCTCAAAGGTCCTTTATCCTTTTGCATTACGGTCCATGTTCCATCCAGATAAAACCAACTACATGCTGGTTGCTAAGGATCCAGTGGTTGGATAGATTGTCACATCATACATCAAAAATCTCAGCACCAATGAAGAAGCAATGGTGGAATTTTGCCGTAGAATTGCAATCCTACAAAAACCTGAGATGGAAGTAATGAGATGAGTGTACCAGAGTATAAAAAAGTAAAGACTAGATCAAGTATTTAGTCTGTTTTGCCAATGAGTGTGGCAGCCATAGAATGAAACTAATTAAGATTGGAAACTCAAAAAATGCTCATGCTTTATAAACATGAAAGCATAGAATCTTCTAGTTTGCTATTATAACCTGCAAGCTGCCTAGATAACTTGTGATATCTTTGAAGATTGGTTCATAAAAAGTTCATTTCTGAAGTAAAGTCTTATTTGATGAATGAAAGCTTTCAAAAGGCGCTTCTTCTTCTGAATAATGCTAGAGCTCATCCCAATGAGGCAGCTATAAGAACTGCCGATGAAAATTTCTTTTTCTTTTTTTTTTTTCAGCAACATCAATTGCTCAACCAATGTATCAAGCTGTTATTGAGACAATGAAACACCTCTACGGAAGATAATTTACAATGAACTTGTTGGATGAAGTTGATTTGATGAAGTTTTGGAAATTGTTCACCATCAAAGATGCCATTTTTATAGTGGCAAATGGATCTAGTGCATTTCTATATACCTAAGTGAATATTACGAGGGTGTATCTGTGAATGCCTAAGCTGCAACATATCCAAATTTATTAATATTTTAATTATATGTCTATATTGTACGTTTTTTAAATATTTTAATGTTTTAAATATTTTTAGTGTATTCTTTCCATTTTTTTTACTATTTAATATTTATAATTTTAGTTTTGACTTGCTGTAAACCTAGTTGTAACTTACAGTCAAATAAACTATCTATCTATCTATCTATCTATCTAAGTAGTAGTATCGCAGTGCAACTCTACACACTTAAGTAGTTTTTATTTTTCTTATTTTGTATAAAAGTTTATTTATGTAGAAATCTATTTTTTTTTAATTTATACAGAAGTTAAAACACTTCACATTTGTATTTAGGTATAAAAAACCTATATAACTTTTATAGGATTTATAAACTTTTATAAGCTATATGTTTTATAAACATAAGTTTTAACTATATATTTTTATACCTAAATACCAATGTTATGTGTTTTAACTTCTGTATAAGTTTTTTAAATGATGGTATACAGCCAACTACTGGATTTTCCTATTAATTTTTATCTATTTTTTGTATTTTGAATCTTTTTATTCAATTTGAAAGTTAGTTTGAACTTATGAGATTAACTTTTTCTGTTATGGTAGGTGCATATATATGTATATAAAAGAAATAAATGTTCAAGTTCATGGTGGATTTGATCTACATAAAACTATCAGCACGTAAAAAATTTTGCTTTTTATATTTAAAAATAAAAATAAAAATATTTTTAATTTGCTCATTGTGATCCATAGATCAAAACTGCCATGAAGTTTTTACATTTCATTTGTATCCAATTTTAATTCAATTAGTGAATGTCAATGTTAACATATAAAGAAACATTGTTTTTGCATCACTTTGACCAAAACCATAAATGATCAATTTAAAGAGTTGCAAAGACACCACAACAGGCATCAAACAGTGCACAAAACAAGTGTTAATAATTGGTAGAAAGAAAGGAATAAAGAAAGCTGAGCAACTATTTAGAATAGCTCGAGACAGAGACAGTTTTGCCATGTTAATCGAAAACGTCAAGGGGACTTGATAGGACATGTTAAGAAGAAGAATAATTGGTACACACAATTAGAAGAAGACTTAAAAAACATGATTTTATGTCATACAGGTCAAAATTTGGATGGATTTGTATATATGGATGAGTTTTTATGTATGAAGTTTTATATACATGAGATTTGCTTCTACATAAATTCAATTGACAGGAGGGAAAAGGGATGTCTGAACACAGAAGAACAATAGGTATAAAATTAGTTTTACTCCTAAATGTTTATTATTAGTTTATGTTTATTATTAGTTTATTTATATAAATACTGTAATTAGCTAAATTCTCACAATTGCTTTACAAAAATACTCTTACTTTTCCTTGTAACAATTTAGATTAAGGTTTTTTTTATACAAATAGGAACACTACGCTTGTTTTGCTCAGCTTGAAAATAATTTGACAGATTCATTGTCTGAAATATACAACACAAAAATTCCTACTCTCCACTATTAATAGCTCAAATAAACCTACTGTTGCAGCCTTTTTATCATTCATTCAATAATCATGAATAATAGGAGTGTGTATTTATTAATTTTCAGTAAATACTTACCCTTTGCAATTACTAATCTATACAAAATCATTCAAACCTATTTCAATAATAATCATTTAAACTTGTGTTTTAATTGATAGTTTTATTTTATTAATAAACTTCATGTGAATAATTAGTTTACTTTAGGTATTGACGACAAGGACATTCAAATTGTGGCAAACCTATACTGGGGTCAAACAGCAAGAGCAAAAACTGGCAACGAACTTACTGAAAGCGTGCAGATCAAAAGAGGTGTCCGTCAGGGGTGTATATTATCCCCACTCCTATTTAATATGTATTCCGAGGAAATATTTAACAAATGTATGGAAAATGCAAATGAGGGCATAAAAATTAACGGCGAGTTAACGAACAATATAAGATATGCCGACGACACGGTGATCTTTGCCAGTACCATAGACGAATTACAACAAGTAATGGAAAGACTTTATTCAGTTAGTGAGGAATACGGCCTGAGCCTCAAATTCAAGAAGACAAAGTGGATGCTGATAAGCAAAAAGCAACAACCTGCTCGACAATTACGAATAAGTAACATACTAATTGACCATGTAGAATCTTATGTGTACCTTGGCACCAACGTAAATGCAAAATGGGAACAGACCATAGAAATTAAGGCAAGAATAGAACGAGCTAGAGCAGCATTTAGCAATATGAAAAAGCTCCCCATAAGCAAGGATTTGTCTCTTCCCCTAAAACTACGTCTAGTTAAATAGTTAAATGCTACATTTTTCCGATCTTGGTGTATGGCGTGGAGGCCTGGACGCTAACAGAGACTCTAACGAGAAAACTAGAAGCATTCGAAATTTGGATGTACCTACGCATTCTTCGTATATCCTGGACCGAACATGTCACCAACATAGAGGTACTCCAAAGAATCGGAAAGGAGAAAGAAATCGTGCATACAATTAAACAAAGAAAGCTTGAATATCTAGGCCACATATTGAGACACGATAAGTACCGTCTGCTACAATTGATTGTCCAGGGAAAAATAGACAGTAAGCGAGGGCCAGGCAGGAGAAGACACTCGTGGCTCCAAAATCTGCGGAAGTGGTTCGGGCTCACATCGGTTGAACTATTCAGAAGCGCCGCAAACAAGATCAAAATTGCCATGCTAATAGCCAACGTTCGCAACGGACAGGGCACTTGAAGAAGAAGAAGACTGAAATCAGTGAACCAAGTATAGCATTTTTACACATATATTTGAAAAGAAGTTTTATGCTATTTTTATGAGTGGTCCCTGTCAGTCTATTAGTCACACTAATTTGAGACATATTTTCATAAAACAAAATTATACAAACTTTTATTTATATCAGATAAGTGCAGATAGTTTAATAATTTTTTTAGAACACTAGGTTATAATTAGAACATATATAATTAGAGCTTCTCATGAAGATCGTCCTGAAGGTGCCAGAGTCAATGGAATCATCATTAACAATATAAGATATGCCAATGACACTCTAGTATTAGCAGAAACAGCAGACCAACTAAAAATATTGATGAACATATTATCAGAAGAAAGTTGCGGGCTGGACTTGGACATTAACTTTACCAAAACCAAAATTCTGGTATTCCACAAAAACCCCATGAACAAGTTACACCTAAAATACAAATAAATGTTTACACCCTCAGAGTTTCCAAAGCTTCATATACCTGGGCAGAGAGCTAAATAGTCAACTAGACCACTCAAAAGAAATTAGAAGATGCATTAAAATAGCAAGATCTAGTTTCATGAATAAGCGTAAAATGCTCTGTAACTCTGTAAGCTATCAGTCTCAATAAGATTGAGAACACTAAAGTCTTATGTGTGGTCTCTATTACTATATGGATGTGAGACCTGGACATTAAAACAGTATGACATCAACAAATTAAATTCATTTGAAATGTGAATGTACCACCAAATATTAAGAATAAGCTGGACCAGCAGAACTACGAATGAAGGAGTACTGAGAGTAATGAACACACGTCCTCATCTGGTCAATACTATCAAAATTAGAAAGACACATCTAGGACACATAATACGCCATAAGGAATTTGAGCAGCTCCAGTTAATATTAGAATGGAAGATTGAAGGTAAAAGAGACATAGGACGAAAGAAAAAATCTTAGCTACGAAACATCAGAGATTTAACGCACACAAGAGGAAATGAATTAATTCATCCAGCCCAGAACAGAGAGAAATTTGCCATGTTGATTGGCAACCTCAACTGAGAAGACACTTAGGAGGAGATTATAAGGAAATATGAACTAATATTATCATTCATTTCTCAGGTAAACTAGTTAATTAAATTAAGAAAGATTTTTTAAAACTGATGAAAAATTGTGAAATAGAAATCAATCCATTCACAAATCACAAATCTGATATGCCACTACTGTGATCAGCAGAATACCATCAATCAATGCAGATAATGCAGATGTAATCAAATAAGGTTATACACAATTTGTCATGTAATAGCACTTTGGAAGATTTATGCAAGAGAACTATTTTACTTTAATCTCTAGTGTTGATAAAGGAATAACAACTGTTAGGAATTCTAAATATTTGTTATAAATGTAATTTCTTCTTTATTTGCATATTTGACAACTGGCAAAAGATTTCTATAAATATAAATTGTAGTCAACCAGGTATCAATTAATTAGTTCTCTTTAATAAACAAAAATATAAAGATTATAAGTACACCTCAAGCTTATAGGTGAAAAAGTAGCTATATTTTAGTAGGCAGTGGTACAATAAGCAATTCAGAATTTAAAAAGCAGTAAAACAATAAAATCAAAAGTATACACACAAATACGATCTAATAAACACATAGTAGGAACATGCAAATGTACTATGAAATGATTAACCTGATTGTTAGTAGACATTTTCCAATCACCAAAAACTCTTTCCTATAACAAACAACACTATTACTAAACAAAGAATTTCATCTCACCGAATTTAGTAGAGCCGACTTCCTTAGTTTTTCCAAATAGATAAAAAATTAAGGGTAAAAATAAACTTGGCAGACTTTGCCAAATTTATGACATTAAGTAATCAAAATACGTTTTCGATTGTTCGCAGATGACACTCTAGATCTAATCAAAAGTGATTTTTCGATGATATTTTGGTCATTATCATTGATTACGTAATTAATAAATAATAAAGATGATTTTTTAAGCACGAGTTTTGCAAATTACAGAGCTATAACCAGAACTGACAGACAGATTTGCTTGACTTTGACATTTGATCTAATGGCATTTTCACATTTGTTCAAAATTTTCTTACATCAAAAAGGATCTCATATATGTGAGCAAGACCACAGAATAATAAACAATTATTTATTATTCTGTGGCAAACATATCACTGGCTATGAACCCGTCAAGGCCAACGAGAAATACAGGACATGCAATGATCACTGGAAACACTGGTATGATGACTGTAGTTGAAACTGCCGTGTCGAACACCAATGTCGAATCTGAACATTTCACATTAATATCAAAATTCCAACTCTATTTTAAAATCCTCTAACATCTCACCACGTAGACCGTAGACTATAGAGAGGAGCAACTAAGATGAGGTGAAGTGCCAATTTTATAGAGTTGCTCAATATATATCAATAAATAACGCACTTAACGCTAGCCTGAATTTGAATCGGTTAGGGAACCATGTTGGAGTTCTATTACCCAGGACGGCCAAGACTCCCACATGAATAGCATTTGGCTGATAGTTGTGCCTCTATCGCGCATCAGATTGCAATAGGGGGGAAAAGCCTGTAGCATTGGAGCGCGGTGGAGCGATTCCTGTTTACACACGAATTAATACACCTCGCTCCAATGAATTGTTACACTCGAACGTAATTTCAAGGGGTGAAAAAGTCTCACAGACGGGGTTCAATTAAATTGCTTGAAAAAATTACCTACCAGAGTCTAATCTATCTTATGGATCGTTAAGGTGAGGAGATTCTTAATTTTCATTTTTTAAATGATAAAATAGATTAATCATTTATCGAGATATTCCCGAATATTAAAGACTTGAAATTTTCATGATTTATTGAGTAAAATTATGTAAATATATATTGTACAAAGTAATAAATCTTTAAATTATGAATTATTTTTTGATATCGAAGAAATTTTTAGCCGCAATTGTTTTTCCAAAACAGGTTTTAATAGAATAAGACTAATTATTATAACACAAATAGTGATCATTCATAGTTTAAATACACTGACGTTTTAAATGTTTACAATTTTGACAGATGGAAAAGTTTATTTTCGATTTATAGTAAATGCTCGATTCTATGAAAATAGTTACCTAATTATTATAATGTTTATATTCATAACTTCATACTAAATTAAAAACTTATCTTTAAATATTTTCTTAACCCGAAATCTAGATAATTTACATAAATGTTTTCTTATTAAACTAAACTAAAAAAACGAGTTGATACATTAAATAAGATCGATTCAGGATAATACTTAAATCGAAACACAATCGAGATTAATGTTGACTTGATGATTGATGATGACTTGAATCAAAATAGAATACTCGAGAGCTATGTACTCTGCTGAATACTCCCATCCAAAGCCCAAATAGATAGGCTTTAATTAAATGTGCAATGTGCATTATGTAATTCAAAGGGAAAGTGACTGCACTAGATTACAATTCAAGTGTCAGTTCTTATAGTAGTAAATATAGGTAATTAGATCGTAACTGACAAGATAAAAATGACTTCAGATGAAGATCAAGCATTCACCCCCTTTGAAATACCTTCAAATTGCTCTTATAGGGGCGAAGGAAATTGTAACATAGTTTTATCTTTACCAAATTTAGGAAAAATACTACGTATACGAAAAATTGACAGGCCAAGATCTTTAATAGGTTGGTTAATTAAATGGATAAGTGACTTGTTGTTTTGGTACACAGGAGGTGATATAATGGAAGAACTAAGAGATTTAAAATTTTATTCAACCATAATGAGACCGCTATTCGGAATTAAGTATACATCAGAAGCTTGTCAAGTTATTGTCTCCAGAAAGCAAGTACAAATTTTAGAAGAGAAACTAGTTAAACATAGACCAGGTATAATGCACTTTTTGTTGGTATGCATAGCAATTAATGTACAATATAGATTTTAGGAAGCATAAAATTTTACAATATGGAAGGGCAAGTATATTTGACGATTTTGCTTTTATTCCTGAAGATGAATATGAGTACTTACCATTCAATATAGCTGATGATACATTTGCAATTGAACTGAAACCTAAACAGGGTTGGAGGTCTTTAAGTGAAAAACACTATCCTGCTTGTGTGTATTGCATGCATCAGTACTTAAAGGTAATATAGATTTGATTGCAAAAATATGTTTAAGTGATTATCATATTTTATGGCACCTTCTACAAGTCTATGTAATAGATGTATGTGCTTATCTCCAATGTTCTATTCCCTTATAGTAAAGTAAACCAATTCTGGTTTGTTTTAGTGTATTCGAAGTTTTTCAGGGTGGTCAGATTGTTATTTATTTTTAATTGTTCTGTTTTGTAATTTTCGACCATAAAATGAATTGTGTATAAATAAGTACTTAGTATTTCTCAATACATATGTATTTTAATTTTAGTTGCAACAAAGAAAGATCAAGGTACTTAGCAAATATTGCCCAGAAGATCTCTTTTCAGGGTAAGATTCTTAAGCAGTTTTATAATATATTTATACTGACTGATTTTTTTAAGGGATGATACTAGGATGATGCGTGCCATACATTCATTAATACAAGTACCTCAAAATAATTTTAGAGTTTTTAAAAACGGAGTATTAGTTTATGGAGATAGAGTAAAAGCAGATTTTTCAAATGTAGTTAGATGTATTTTTGACAATATGGAAGATAAACAAGAGAGGTAAGCAGTAAACAAATGCAGCTAATTTCTAAGAAAAAATTAAGAATTCTTTTGGCATTCAATATATTTCCAGTACACACTTTAACATACGTATACATAAAATTTATATGTTTTAGATTAATAGATGAATTTTGCAAACTAGTTAAAAAATGTCTATTGACCAATTTCATGAATGTAAACTTTAATGAAAACTGCGAGGAGAAACTGTTCTGTGAATGGAATAAGATAATTCAAGATTCCAATGCACACATTTTACCAAAGAACTGCATCCTAGAAAAAATCCTCTCGATTCAAATGTTAGACATTGAAGGAAGCATATACTATGATAAATTACTAAATAGCAAAGATAATATAGAAGACTGGGCCTATGTGGATATGTTATTAAACAAAATAGATAATGAAAACGATTGTGTATGTTTAAAATGTATGATTATGATGTTGGCTAATGTAGATAAACGGAATGAGGAAGCAGATCTGGCTTTTATACCTTATCTAATCTCAGCAGTTGCCAAGGACTGTTCGTTAATGATAACAATGAAGAAGATTCAAGAAAATATCAGGTAATGTAAAGCAGTTGCTATAGTATACACACACTACACTGTTATAGTCTAAATTACGTTAGTTGTTTTTAAGTGTTTTTAAATAAGAAAAATGTATTTAAAAGAAGAAACATTTATTTTTAAGTACCAAAAAATACATACATATTCTGCAAAAACATAAGAAAAAGTGGTTAAGACTTAATTTTTGTCAGTAGTTTTCCCTTTTTTCTTCACACTTTGCTCATTTTCATCTGCAGATCATTTAAAAAACTGTCCAAGGAGGTTTGTTTCTTTCTCCCTTTCAGAAGATTGCGGAAATGTGTTAAATTAAATATTTGTTTTTTGCAGTGACGATCTTGAAATCAAAAATATCATCAAAACAGACTACGGCCACTTTTTGGTGAACATCGGCGTATTTGACTTATATCCAAAACGGCTGTCTTCGATACGAAAACATTGCCAGAGAAACAAAGATATTTTCAAAGCTTATATGATCGCTAACTCTAAACGAAAAGTAGCAGATTCTACAAAATGATTACCGGTAAAACGATTTATTATGATTACAGTTTTAATTATTTTTTTATACTTATATGAGATGAATGTTTTTATAAAAAAAAAATGTGATAGTTCTATGAAAGCTTTACTAAATTTTATTCAATTAATTATTGTATCGGGAATGCAGATTAAATATTTTATATTTTGACGTTAATGATGAAATCTAAGCAGACCTTGCGTCACCTTAACCCGTAGACATATGTATTAACATAGACCGAGCATACGGGCCGCGCGTGCTGACGACAAGATCTCTTGGACTCTTGCGCTTGTTCGTTCTCTCTCTTTCTAGTAGGTACATGCTATTGAGAAGATTACGTACTTACAGCTCTTCCCGTTTATTGTGGTAGCGAAAAATAGATGGTGTCGTCACTTAGCTTTACAGATTGTTCAGTCTATGTTAAATATACATACGTCTATGCTTAAACCGGAGAAAATTTTGAATCTCAATAGCAGTGTAAACTTCACACCCTCTTAAATAAAATGCTGACTTGCTGCAGACACGATACTAACTTATCCTCGACTCGAGGCTGACTGAACATAGAACGAAATGCGACTGTGGGCATGCCTTCCTACGTTGGGAGTGGGAGGGGTTTACAATGCCATTGAGATACAACATTTTCCGAAGCTCAAATCCCGCAACCTCTGCTAATCTATCTATTCAGTCTTTTGAATGCGTGACCAATATTAGATACGATATAGATACGGTAAAGCTAATATTGGTTGATATTGTAGATTCCAGAAAGTCCGTGTCAGACAGTCAAATATATGATCAAACTAGTTTGACCAAACCCAAAAATTGACAGCATATGACGTTACATCATCGAGTTAGAATATGTGAAGAAGCTATGAGCATATTAACGTGTATATTAACCTGTTGACTGCCAAGGCACTGTGAAGGAAACAAGTCCAGGACGTTTCTTTCCACTCATTTTCTTTTGTAAAAAATGGTTTCAAGATATCTCGTAGTCGGGCGTCCCCGATTACAATAGGTATTCTGTAGCCCAACCACGAGATTTCTCGTAACAATTTTTACGTGCGATACAGCTGTGCGTTTTTTGTGTGTTTTATTGGTGAATTCGTTTTAGTTTTCGCGTTTTTTTTTTTATAAATGATGTCAAGAAAACGAGGCTTAACTTCAGAGGAACTCGGGAACTATGCGAACATGAATGAGTCTGAATGGGAAGAGTTCCTGAAGGATAATTCAGATGACAACTCGGGACTATGAACTATCAAATGAGCAAGGTTCAATAAGTTCAACAGCAAGCGACGAGAGCCCTTCGTCACAGTTACAATTGGAACAACCTGATCTAGAGCCAACTGCTGAAATATTCAACGAAGAAGAATGGTGTGATGTTGAGAATGACCCACCAACTTTTGATTTTTTTACACAAGATGTTGGGCTAAAACATCAAGGTGAACTGACTATCGACAATCTGGTTAACTTGTTTTTTTTCTGATGCATTTTTGAACATGTTGGTTCAACAAACAAATTTGTATGGAGCCCAAGAAATTCAGAAAAATACACTTACAAGGTCTTTTCGACTGTTGCCTTTTTGCTACACATGGGCCCATGTACTTTACCATCAATTGAACATTACTGGTCTCAAAATTTTATGTATAAAATGCCATTTTGGAGGTTAGTAACGAGTAGAAATAGATTTCAATTACTATTACGTTTTTTGCATTTTGCCGACAACTCGGAACAAACAGAGGATCGATTATACAAAATAAGGCCAGTCCTCAGTCATTTTAACAAAATAATGAAAGATAATTATGTTCCCGGTAAATTCTTATGCATTGATGAATCAATGATCCTCTGGCGTAGTAGATTATTTTTTCGGCAGTATATAAAAACACAACATAAGTATGGTGTGAAACTATATGAACTGTGTGAATCCCATGGAGTAGTTCTGAAAATTAGAATCTATTGCGGCAAATCTGAAGCCAACGACACCACTGTTGATATGGGACATACTACAGAGGTCGTATTGCACTTACTGGATAAATATTTGGACAAAGGATGTATTGTCTATAATGAACAATTTTTACAATGCAGTAGCCCTTGCCAAGCGCATGAAAGCCAGAAAAACATACGTCTGTGGTACTTTACGCAATAATCGAAAAGGGAATCCAAAATACGTGATCTCAAAAAAAGGGAGTAGTAATATCTTCGAATTATTAAAAACAATTGAACAAACTGTAATTATGACGTCATTAGTCGTCAGTTTTGATCAAATATTTGCCCGTCTGATACGTACTTAAAACTTCATTTCTCGGAGCTCTTCTAGGCTATTTTTATAAAAGTATTATTTTTAGTTTCGAAATGAAAAAACATGCTTGTAAAAAACAAAATGGTATTGTATTTATCGGAAATGGACATTTTAAATTTAATCTGTACTCCTAGCTGCTATTTGTTTCAGTTTTTTAAAACATTTTATATTTTGGTCAATTTTTAAGCAAAGTTGTTGAACAAGGTACGAAAATAATTAGATCATTTTGCGATACATTGGCATAATTTTATAGTTAAAAAAAAATCGTCTGGCTAATTGGTCCTTACCAAAGCCATCTAATTAAGTAAAAAAAAAAAATGGCATAATTTTACTACATTTCTCGTTTATTAAGCCATACAAATTTTTAAAAAGTATTGTCGCATTCTTAACAGTTTAAACAGTCACTAATTTAATATATTACACCATATTTATTTTTTTTAATCAAATAAAAGGCAGATATTAAGCACAGTTTTTCATTAGAACAAGTAGTTTCGCTTTCAGAGCATCTTCAGGGACATTTCGTCAAAATTGTAGGCTATCCAGCACTTCTATGAATGTTATAAACATGAAATAATAGATTTACACGACACTAGACAAAGGACAAACAGTTTAAAACAATTTCAAAATTTAAAAAGCTACATTGTGGGTGTAAGCAGGAGAGAGACTCAATTTCCCTGAAGATTCTCCGAGAGCGAAAATACTTGGCCAAGATTTAGTAAAAAACTGCTCTTTTATTTGATTAAAGTTTATTTATTCGAGCATTTAACCATATATACAGTTAATATTGTTGCACATTAATTTTTTCTAGTTGTTTTTATTTTCCAACTATTAAAATGTTTTTTAAAAACTTTGATAAATACACTTAACATTTTTGTTGTATCGAAATTTATAGGCGCTTGTCTAACCTACTTGATGTACGTAGCTCTAACAAGCCATATAAATATTTATTGGTAATGGAACAATAAATCTATGGGTAAGAATTATATGTGGTGAATGTCTACATCTAGTATATTATATTAGAACAACAGGGTATTACTGCTTAATGCGTAAACAACTATTTGCCAAATACATAGAAAAATTTACACAATAGAGTGGTATTAAGATGATCCAATTTTATAACTTTTTTTATTTAATTTTTTACATTGATTATACCGACAAACAAAAGTTTTCCTATCAAAGATTGACAACATAAGATACTTAACTTAAGATACTTAACAACTTAAGATTAAACCTTAATTACCAAATTACCGAGAATAACTAAATTTATTGATATGTGGCAACACCAATGCAGAACCGATCGTCTCTCTTCGCGAGAAGTTCCGAGTTCTCCTCTCTCCTCCTCAGACCCAGACCTTAGTCGAGTCAGTTTAGTCAGTCCAGTCAGTCTTTCTGCACCTGTTAAATTTATTGTTAATGTTTAAAGTTATACAAAATCATGGATAAATTTTTAACTGGGCGTAAGCGAGCATTCAATACGAGTGAAGCATCACCAAGTGCACAGGATTGGTTCCAAAAATAAAATCAAGAAAATATTCTCAAGATTACTTAAATTTTGGGTTTACGTTTACTGAAGTAAATGAAGAAGAATGGCTTCTATGTATCATTTGCTCAAAAATTTTAGCAGCCGACAGCATGAAACCAAATAAACTTAAAAGACATTTGGAAACGCTTCATAGTGAGTGCATTAATCAACCCCGAGAATTCTTCGAGTTAAAATTAAAATCACATGAAAAACAAAAATCATTAAAAAAAAACTTTAGCAAAAGACAAAAAAACATGACTGTGAATGAAAAAGCTTTACTTGCCTCTTATAAAACCTCCCATCAAATAGCTAGATGTAAAAAGCCTCACACTATTGGCGAAGAGCTTATTTTACTAACTGCAATTCATATGTAGAAACTATGTTTGGAGATAATTTTGCCAAAAAATTGGAGTCTATACCTCTATCAAATGATACTGTTGCCCATCGAATTTGTGATATAGCTGAAGATGTACAGGATCTCGGGAAGTTGCGCGACAAGCTGTCCTCGATTCAGCTTGATGAGGCAACAGATAGCAATAAAAATGCTCATTTTATTGCCTACGTTTGATTTTGTGATGGCATATCATTAGTAGAAAAACTACTTTTTAGTAGCATTATTTGCTATCTTAAACGATTATATAAATGAAGCAAAAATAGAGTGAAAGAGTTGTTTCGGAATATGCACAGATGGTGCTCGTGCAATGTCCGGAAAATTTCATAGTGTACAAGCGCTTGTGAAACAAAAGTGTCCAATGTGTATATGGACACACTGTATGATCCACAGAGAAGCTCTAGTTTCCAAAGAAATGTCTCCTGGCCTGAATATTGTACTAACAACGGTTGTAACAGTAGTTAATTACATACAAATGAGACCTTTGGAAACCAGAATCTTTTCTGCACTTTGTAAAGACATGGGTGCATTACATTCAGCATTATTATTTTATTGTGAGGCAATTTTTACAACGTGTTTTTGAATTAAGACATGAAATGGCTATTTTTCTAGAAGAAGAAAATAGACCGGAAGCCGAGATGTTTATTTGTAAGTATGTCAAATTTGTCGCTGTTAATTGCATTGTGTGTCACGCTGCATTTCGCCTCAGTGCACAGTGCACAATGCTCCCTGCTGTGAGCAGTCATTTCCTTAGAGGCTCATACAGAACTTGTTATAATTCAAGGTAGCAATTTGAA